GTCTGGAAGAATGGGCCCGATGTTCACTCTGAAATTCAACCATCCCTTTCTGGTGATCATCCAAGACAAGGCATCGCAAGGCATCCTCTTTATGGCCAAAGTCACAGAGTTGAAGGAAGCCTAGAGCTCCCCTCCAAGCAGCGCGGGTCCGCTAAGGAGCCGGGAACAGAAGCCGGGCGCTGGGTGTCTGGGCACAGCCTGGCTCTGTCTGCTCATTCTTGGGAAGGTGCCAGTGACGGCCCGTGTGGCTCCCACAGGCATGGGGGCTCCTGACAGTAATAAACCATCTTCCCTGTACTGGACACTTTCCTTGTGCCTTTCTGTGCTGACTGCCTGACTCTGCGTCCTCAAGGATTCCTGTGCCCCAAAGCCAAGCCCCCTGACTCCCACGCAAGCTCAGTCCCACCCCAGGCTCTCTGCCCCTCTGTCTTCAGCTGCAGCCTCCTGGCCAGGTCGCCCTGACCACACCTGGCACAGCTCCTAGACCCCTCACTCCTGCAGCTGAGCAGGGCTTTATGGTGGCCTCTCTCCTTTCTGCCCCACCACCCAATATGTGGGGAGTAGCCACTTTCTGGGTTCCGAGACTAAGCCCCCCAACTGCCGCACCAGGTCCTAGTGCTCACCCTGATGGACAATCTCCCTGGGTATCCAGCATGCGGGCTGAATACACACGAGCATCAAATGCAGGGCGGTAGCGAGCACGGCCCTGCAGTCATTCATTTACCTGATGGCATCGGAGACCGTGGTATGTCGAGGGACGACAAAGACAGTGATAGGGTTGACAACAACTGAATAGTTGAGATCTTTATGCCACACAGTCTGCTAAGATCTCTCCCTGAAATAACCCCTTTAATCCCTGTGATGACCCCATGAGATAGACACTATCAGTGGTCTCATTTTGTAGATGAGGAAACTAAGGCACAAAGAGGCTTAGCAATTTTCTGAAGGCCACAGAGCTAGTAATTATTGCCAGCAGCTGTTTTCCCAACACGCCTGCCACCCAAGGAGCCACAAAGTGGCTAAACCACAAAGTGATTCCACACCTGTCCACAGTGTCCCTTTAGGATACAGACAATCTGATGGGCAAGTAGATGGTGAAATGGGGCTTGCGGGCTGAGAGGACATCATCAAAGTCAGTCTGGGGAGTCAGGGAAGACTTCTTGGAGGCGGTGACTTCTGTGCTGAGAGCAGAGTATGAATAGAAGGTGGTCAGGTGAACAGAGAGGAGAACTTTCACGCAGGTGAAAGAGTAAGGGTGGCATTTTCGGGAAACTGAAAGAAGTTGAGTAGCTCTGGGGCAGGAAGCAGAAGGGCTGGGAGGAGGAAGAGACAGGACCGCTGCCAAAGACTGCAGAGTGCCTCCTTGGGGCCATAGGGGCTTTAAAGGCATTTTTACAGCGAGGAGACACAAGCAGACCTGCCCAGGGGAAAACGCACTCTGGCTGCTGAGTAGGGGAGCGGTGATGCGGGGCCCAGGACAGGGATGGGCGCTTGACATCCGGGGCTGTTGCTGTAACTGGGGCGAGAGCGAGTCCCAGCTGGGCGGGAGCGCAGGCGGCTCTGCCCCAGGCTGTGAGAAGCCTGCACGGGCTGCGGTTGGACGTGGGGCCTGTGCCGCTGGCTGATGGCCACACATCCTCTGAGACGGGAGGAGGAGGGTGAGCGTCGTGGCATGAGAAGAGAGGATTCCTCCGTGGAAGGATCGCTAAGACAGGGCAGCCCCCGGAGGACAGTGACCGGTGCTGGGGAGGAGGCGGGAGGACAGGAAGAAAGCTGTCCCCAGGCCCCAGAGGAGAAGTTTACCAGGGGATGGGGGATGGCCCAGAGACAGGGTGAACGGGTGCAATCATGGGATTCAATGACCCACTCGGGCTGGGCACGTGCCATGGCCGCAGGGCTGAGGGGAGGCTGCAGAGGGCTTGCGAGTGAGCAGAGGAGGAGGAGGAGAGAGAGCAGGAGAGAGCGCAGGGGCCCTCCTAGAGGTAAGCCTTAGAGGGGAGGAAAGCCAGGGCCGTGGGCAGTGAGCGCTATGCTGGAGTCAGCTCCATGCTTGGCAGAGGCTAGAGCCTTGAGCAAGCGTTCAGAACCACAGAAATGATCCGGGAGACGGGTGGCCAGCCTCCAGGGCCGCAGGGGGGCACAACTCCTAAGGTACAACCAATATGGGCGGTTTGGCACCTCGCCAGCCTGGAGCTGGGCTGTGAGCATCCTGCAGGGCGTCAGGAAGTGTCCCAGAGAGAGCAGAGTCCCTGGGCAGAGGCAGGGGAGGGCAGGGGTCAAAGTCCAAGGCTCCCAATGGGACAGGAATGCCAAAGGCAGAGGGTGGGGGTGGGGTGCCTGGCCAGGGGCAGAGGAAGGAAGGAGCATCTATCTTAGCAGGATGCTGTGGAGCCTCCTCTCCCCGCCCCCCCCCCCGCCCTAATGACTATGGTGATTTCTGGAGTAGAAGAGACATTTCCCAGGATTTAGCATGGGGGAAGCTATGCAATGGGACAGGGAGGGGACCATGATGTCATGGCACATCTTCCAGGCTCAGCGATGGACCCCTTGGTGGCCCAATGCTAGAAATTGCTGGGGGCTCCAGCTTCAGGGCTGTGAGTTTTCTTTCTCTATCCTCACCAGCCCCCTTTTGGGTTTTGAGAAGGTCAACTGCTGGTCAGGTGGTCAGGATCAAGGAGGGGCCGAGGATCCAGACCATGCAGGGACTGAAATCGTGGGCGTCAGGCTCGGTGCTGGGAGGAACAGAGCAGGGCAGAGGGAGCTGAGCCCCGGGGAGGGCAGAGGGCAAGGGACAGTGGTACCAGGAGATCCGAGAACAGCCCATTGGAAATGTCCATGCGAACGAGAGGCTACTCTTTCCCCCACAGAGGGGTCTTTCACATGGACCCTCAGTTTTCTTGTCTCTAAAGTGGGAACAATGATGGTCTGTACATGTGTGCATACGTGTGTAATAAGTGAGGCTGGCATGTGTACATGTGTGTGCACATGTGTGAAAAGTCAGGCCGGCAGGTGCATGTGTGTGTGCACGTGTGTAAGAAGTCAGGCGTCACTGAAACACTTGCTCTTGGGGATCAGTACCCCTGGCCACAGCAAAACACCTTGAGGCGATCTTTTCTGAGCGAATCAACTCACATCAGCTACTCGTGCCTTGGGGACCACTTGACATCTGCTGCCCTTGACAGGCCTCCTGACACAGACCCACCAGCTGCAGGGACAGCCCGGCCCCTGTTCTGACCCATCACCTCCCTCACTGACCCACAGTGACGTCCAGGGCCCAGAGTCACCCCCACCAGCAATGCCAGTTCTCCCTCATTGAGCCTCGTGAACGCCCAGCCCTCCGGGCGCAGGCCCCGGGATAGCCCTGGGGTTCTGAGATAAAGGAGGTGGACCTGGAACTTGCCCTCATGGGGTCTCCCCTCGGTGAGCAGGACAGGTAACTGAACTTGGATGTGACAATCGCTCTCCTGGGTGGTGTACAGGTTGCCAGGTGGGCCCGGGAACCAACCCCAGACTAGGAGAGTCGAGTTGGACCTCCTAGAAGTTCTCAAATGCTAAGTCCTGTGCAGTGAAGAGGAGACACCTGGGAGATATGCTGGCAGGATATAAGAAAGGGCGTGGTGTATTCATTGGGCAAGAAGAAGATCCTGTGGTCTGGATCACCAAGTTTGAGAAAACCATGGTCATCTGTGGAGCTAAAGAGAACAACATGAACAAGAGCATGAACAGGACCATGCAAGCCATGTTGGGGATCTTAGAGTCTATTCAAAGGGTGGTGAGCAACAGTGCAATATTATAAGCAGGGAAGTGCATCGGTTAGGTTCTCCTTTAGAAAGATCACCCTGGCTGAGGAGGGGAGGATGGAGGGGGGTGAATTGCAGATTTGGTGGGAAGAAGAGAAGCAGAATGACCAGGCATTTTCACCTCAGTTAGGAACTGGGCAAGGACGCAGAGGAAAGGTAGCTGATCAGAGATATTTACCAGGTAGAACTGATAAGACCTCATGGTCAATTGTGGGAGGGACAGAAAGGAGTGGAGGATGACACCCAGGTTCCCGGGAGCTTGGGAAAGTGAAATTCACGCGCTATCCTATGAGCTAAGGATTACAGAATGGATAGCATTTTGTGCAGGAAGAAGGTGAGTTCCGGTTTGGACCTGTGGAGTCCTGGATGCCCGTAGGCCGCCTGAGAAGAGCAGTCTGCGAATAATGGGTCTATGAGCTGACGTCCGATAGGGGAGTGTGGACTGGAGGAACGGATTTCTGGATGTCTTCTTGGCCAAAAGGGAAGAAGCTCCGTCCGATGGCTCCCACTGTCTCCTGTGCTGCAGAAAGAGACGTTGTCTGCTGGGGACCCTTTATGAGGGAGAGAAAAACCCAGAAGTCTGGGGATGGAGACAAAAAGGCACCTGAGGAGACTTCCAGCAGGCACTATCAAGGGTCCTTTGGGGCTGGAGACCACAGTGCCACCTACCTGTGCAGGGGTGCGGTTTCCAGGGACACTCTGCAGTCCAGACATACACAGGAAGGAGGCAGACTGCAAGGTGCCATTGAAGTCTAACTTTCCCCTGGCTACAAGATGTGGGGACCACGAGTGGCTGACACAAGAGAAAAGGAGCATATTTGAAAGTGCTGCCCGGAGAGCCACTGAAATGTTGGGACCCTTATCTTCCAGGCGGGGCCATCAGGAGCCTTAACAGGTGCAAGAAGTGACCAGAAACAAGGCAGTACTTTGAGGCTGAAGACATGAAAGGATTCATATATTGCTAAAAGGGTTCCACTTGCTCCACATGCATTTTATGCAGATTTGCCGGTGGGGAAATGGAAGAGAAAAGTGAGGACAGATTCCATGCGGGTTGTTGTCCTCTCTCCTCCCTCATCGCAGAGCCCTTGCTCCTCCACACGGCTGCGCATGGGGACTTAGGAGTGAGGGGACCCTCAGAGCTCAGTCCAGATCTTGGTTTGACCAGTCACAGCTACGCAACTTGGCCAACTTAGCTGACGTCGCTGTCACTGCCTGAGCACTTGAGTGACCCCAGAGCACGATCAGATAGGTTACTGCTATTCCACTAGTAATGACAATGCATGTCAGAGACCTGGCTGGGGTCCATAACCCCCGCTCCACCCCCTCCCACGTCTGCCACACCAGAAATGTGTCGAGATATCTAACTTCATGGTGCCCTGTTGTCCCCACACGTGCCACATAAGGCTGTGATTAACCACTTCGGTATGGCGCTCACCGGCCGTGAAACCGTGCCCACAGCCGGCACTCACAGTCCGCACGGCAGTCTGTGCTGTGCATTGATG